CCTATTTTGGGAAACTACCAGATTAGCTAGGAGGTTCTTAGGGTTTGGGGTTCGGGGTTTGGGGGTTTAGGGGTTTAGGATTTTGGAGTTTGGGGTTTCAGGATGGGTTTGAGTTTCAGGTTGATGGCTTGGAGTTTGGGTTTGAGTTCGGGAGTGTTGTGAGGTTGAGGAGATAGAACGGGAACAGACCGGCAGAATACAGGTGCTGGTCTGCATGTGATTTGAGCACACGTGCGGTTCTGTGTCTTCGAGGTCCTGTGAAAAGCGCCAAGGAGAGGGAAATCCCGCTAATGCAAGATCTTTTGAGGGATGATGGGGTACAAGTTGCATCTGAGCAGAAATGCGGGTGCATATCGAAGACTAACTCGAGTGCCAATAGCTGCAGTATCTTACAGTCGTAGTCATGCTAATATAGGCGAACAAGATCTTATCACTTGCCAAGCTGAGCAATTCGGGCTACAATTGTGAGCATTATTGTCAACAGCGAGCCTGCGCAGATTGTCTTTATTGTTCGTACAGTTTGAAAACATGCTTTTCACTCTCATGTCTGTAGTATGTTAGTATGTCTTGTTTCGTGGTTATTCTTTCCTCAAGCTGGTACTATGACAGGCACGCTTGCTGGCACTATGCTTGCTGGCTTCCACTTTTTACTAAAGTAACAAGGAACCCCCTCTAGCCCTCCTCGCCCTAATAATTACTGTCAGCTTTACAGGGCCTTGACCTCCTGGGGGTTCCACGTCAGTCGGGGGAGGATGTCCCTTCTATCCTCCTTATGGGCCCTGTAAGCCCAAGCAGGCCCTCCGAACCGTGGCTGCGCACTGTCAAGGCATCTCGGGAGGAGAAAGGGGTGGTAGCTTCATTCGGGCGGTTGAGGTACAAGGTGTACAATGCGTTGGCTTCACGGCTTTGTAGGTTGTTGGGGTAGGATATGAGGCTTCGGGGCATAATACGAGGCTCCAGGGCCTGGCTCTGATGGGAGGGTCGCCATTGAGAGGCCTGCAGTGGGGGAATGCGGCTAAGCGCATAAACGCAGTCGCGCTACGAACAGGGCTTGCAGCAACGCCACGTGCAAGTCGCTTTCAAAGAAGCAGCTGCAGCAGTAATGTGTGCGCGCCCTTTGCTGGTTTAAGAGCTCTAGCTTCAGAATGCGCAGTTGAGGCTGTGGAGTCTAAGCCCTGCAGGGATTGTGGTTGGCCTGGGGCCGAGTGGTGTTTCTGATCAACTGTCTAGGCCCAAGAGCTCAACATTCTCGCATGGTAAGTGCGGTTGCAAATCTTATGACCGAACCCATTTCAAAAAGACGCAATATTTCCCTGCAGGCCCTGCAGTTGTATTGCACAGGTGGATTAGAAACCAGACTTCCACTCCAGCTGGATTCTTGAGGTTGAGGTCAGGCCTCGTAATTTCAGTCACCGAGGGAGCAGAACATGTGGGTTAACCAGCTCTTGCAGAGAATCAAACCTAGTTCGGTTGTGTGCTACAGGAGAGCGACCCATCTTGCTGATGATCTTCACAGAAACTTTCTGGCAAGTGGAAAGACGCAACTTGAGTACTTACTGAGAGTTAGGCCTGTTGTTGAGGCGTGGTGGCGAGAAATTACAAGGACATGATTTGCTCATGGAGTTATTTCCCCTGCAACACACACCATTAGAAGTATTGCCTTAGCTGTGCTCAATCTTTCAAACCTATTGCAACCCTGACATTCTAGAAACCAAAGGTTCTCCCACCTCTGAAGCTCATGGGAAAATTCAAGATTTCTAAGAACCTCTGCAGCAGTCCTCAGTGCCCACGTTGTTTCTACTTGGCGGAAAGGGGGTAATTAGGGTTTAACTGCGTTTGTTGTTGCATTCCGTCAGGCCGTCGTAAGGCCTCATAGGATGGTTCAGATGTGACTACATAAAATAGAGCTTACCACGAGGCGGTGTATTTTGCAGTGGGACATGCCCCCTGCCTATCATGGCCCTTGGTGTTGAGCTTTAGCCTTGCCCATGTCAGGGGACAGGCTTGCAGGAGAGTTTCCCCGTTGTCGAAACCTCTGCCTGTACAACGTGAGGTTATGAAAGCAGCTGACGCTGCAAAAGCGCAAGTTGCAGGGTGGTGTGCATGTCGTAATCTACGTGAGGAATGTTGAGCTCTGCAAGTATGCATCGCCGCATGTGGCTTCAAGTTATCCAACCTCACGTCGGCTAGCGGAAGGAAGCCATGTGTGGGGTAGACCGTAAGCTGTAAGTGGACCCCAACACATCCCTTCGACCCTTAACCATTAAAACGCTCAGAGCTCAAATGTTTGAGGATGGGGAGCCCAATGGCGGTGTGAAATACTTTGAGAAAGAGCTGAAACGCCGCTTGCTCGTCCAGGAAGAAGATTGCTGGCAACCCTTGTTGTAGGTAAGTCTTCAGCTTCAACCCTTCTCAAAAGGGAGATGTAGGCATATACATACTTAAACAAACAAGCGAGTCATGGCGGACAAAGGTGCAGGACTCTTCTTTGGGGATCTTTGGATTACCTATGCCAGGGTTGTGCCAGGTGTGTTGCCTGCACGTCTTGACTTACTTACATTTGACACATGGTTAGGGGTTCAATCTGTCAGGTTTAGGCTTTAGGGGGTTAGGTGTAGGATGAAGGGTGTAGAATGCACGCTGGTGGTTTCATACTCCTCTTCGGAATGCTCCGGCAATAGTAGAACAGCAGAAGGGTTGTCTAGAGCCTGTGGCATGACACTTATGGACAGGAATGTAAAGGGTAGTGCCTGGAAGCAGAAGAAGAGGTGGCGTGGTTGACTGATAGTAGATCGTGGAGCCGTTTGGGGCATTGCTTACCAACTTGGATTTGGGGGACACTAGGAGACTTGCAGTGTGAGGATACTTTGTAGTGCTTGGGTCTTGGGATGGTGTGGCGCTCAGCACTTTGTATTTCTGTTCGTGTTGTGAGTTCCTCGGTCTGCATGTCCTCCAAGTACTGAAGACTAGACGTTGTTTCGATTTTCAGACCGGAACTCGACTTGCGCTTGAGACCTTCACCCTTGAACATGTGAATACAATTTTCTGAACTCTACGCACCCTACATGAACCTCTGAACGCTGAACCCTAGAAGCTCATAATCTCCTGAGTCCTACATCCTCCACCTTGAACTACGCCAAACACGCCGAAAAAGCTTTGAATGCACCGCGAGCCCCGAGGAAACCCAAATCCCTATTAACCGTCAATCCCAGTTTGCATTGAATTGTCCATGTGCTTTTCCCTCTGCTTTTAAACGTGTTTTTTTCATTCTTGGGCGCAATATCACTACATAACCCTCTGCGTAAACCGTATGCAATACGCAAGGTCTGGTCACCAAGAAAAGCACCAATCTCAGCTTCCGGGAAGCTCGACCTGATCGGGGAGTTTTTCAGAGACAGGGGGGGGGGCAGGCTTCAGGATCCTAGAGTTATCTTAGGGGGAATGCATGTAGAGGGTATAGGGTTTAGGGTTAGTAGGGAATAGGGGAATATAGTGCAGGGATTATATTTCCTTATTCCCTACTAAACACCAGTAAGTTGTACAGGGTTGCTGGGAGATGTTGTGGTTCCTTGTCAGGGTTCACTGTGGGATTATTTGAGAAACGTCCAAATTTAGGGTTCAGAGTGATACAAAGTATGTCAAGAGTCGTAGGGTTTGCGGATTATCTAGGCATGTGTTAGAGTTTGAAAGGCTTGGGGGTTAATTGGGTTTGATAGTAGTTCCTTGCAGAATGCGCATCTCCAAGCGCATTGCCTGAACCCCGATGATGTATGTGAGTTCTCTCAAAGACTCTTTAGTAGGGACTTCACTTTATACAATCCCAAAGTATCCCCAGGCTAGGGTCCCCAGGGGGATCCTAAAACCAAAACCCTAAACCCGACCACTCAAAAAAGCACCCAAGCGCCTAAGGTGCAGATCATGGCCTGCACTGCTGACGAGGATGCTGTAGGGTACTTGAATGACATCGACGAGAAGTTTGGAAAGGCCAAACATATCTTACTGGGGTTACTAAGGAACAAGGGAATATATCTTTATAGTATAATATAGAGACTATATTCCCTTATTCCTTACTAACAACCAGGAAGATATGGATGCGCTGTCTTGGGGTTGATGAAGCATGGGCTCTGGCTGAGGCACACAGAGGTACGTAACGGCCTGAATAACTACCAATGTTATGGTTGTAATTTCCTGGTACGTTCATGTTGTCGAGCACCTCAAATATACCTCAAGATGATATTGCTAATTCTTCACGGCCCTACCATACAGAATCTCCTGTATTCATCTATATAATAAACACAGTTTGCATTTTATTTACAACTTTTAATCTGATGCTCCATTATCATCCTAAGCCCTAAGCCCTAATTCCTGAAAAATAGTTTCCATTTCATTTTCCATTTTCATGTCCATTCGATTCTCCATTATTCTATCTAAGCCCCTACAAGCCCCTATAATAGTATCCACGAGATGGGCTCCAGGGTACAAGGACAACTTCTCCATGCCGTGCTTTTTGCTAAGCCAGCCACTTGTTCTGAATGCTGGGATGAAATGGACATGCGAATTTACCCTAAACCCTAAACCCTAAGCCCCAGTGTATAATTCTGCTTCCAACAGGTCATAGCCAGCGCTATACTGGCTGCAGTAGTTGAGAACCAGGACTCCGAGCCCAAGCCCTGGGCAGCTGATCCCTAAGCCCTAAACCCTAAACCCCTAAACCCTAGGAACCAACCTGAAAGGAGCCCTGTGGAGATGACAACCCTTAGGGCATCTGCGGGGGTTCAGAGTCCCGGGTTTAGGGTTTAGGTTTCCATGTTTGTTTGGGAGAGCGTGTGTAGGTGGATGTCACGGATGACTACTACAGTGAGATGCTCGAGGTGGTCAAAAAGGCCACAGAGTTCCGACTGCTGCAGCCGAAGGGTTTCTTAAAATGGGAGTATCCAAAGGGAGCACTGGGGTAGACTAGGGCTTCAGCAAACTTATGCGGATTAAGGAGAGTCATGTAGGGGTTATCCGATAAAATCCAACATTCCGACATGATGAGGGGAAGCCTGAAACGCTTGTTATGAAATAGGGTATTATTTTGGGTTTTTGGTAGGTGTATGGTCCGAAGGGGGAGACCTTCAGATTTTATAGTCGCTATTCATTAATGATGTTCCTGCTACTACAACTAATCTCGCATTCTTGGGCTGATTGTACTGGTTGTCTTAAGCCTTTGATTTTTCTGCACCCTGTTCATATCCTGTAGGTCACCCTTCGCAGACTCCCGCCAAACCCTCAAACCCTAAACCTGTAAAACTACATCCTAAACCCTAAACCCGAAACCCTAAACTCAAAACCTGTAAAACTAAATCTTCCCTCCGGGACGCGCCCTTCAAGGCCCGCACGAAGAAGAGCTTCTCACGGGGCGACTGGCTGATGAAGGCCATGCTGGGTCCTGTTGCTTGGCTACATTCTACGGTTATATCATAGGGATTCAGGGTTAAGGGTTTAGGGTTTAGGGATTATGTACGAGGATATATTGGGGTTATACATAAGGATTCCATGTATACAGTATATTTTTATACACATAAGGATTATGTAGTAGGATAATGTGTCCATCCCATAGGGGGATGTGTGATCTCGCAGGTTTGCTTGTTGGTCTGTTCAGTCTGTGCTCTGCATGGCTACTCCAAACCTCGCTTATTGAGTTGCCACATGCTGCCTTCTACACTTATAGTCCCCCTTAAGTAGATGGAATATGGGGTATATGGGGATTTTATTATAATGTACCCAAAGCCATATTCTATCTACTCAAGGGGGACTAGTCTTATGATTGGGTTTCGAGGCTTCAGGAGGAGCTTGAGTTTGCGAGCAAGGCAATGCATTGGTCATCCGTCTTTGCTTTTCAATATTTGCTGTGCTCAGACACTCCACAATCTACATATCCCCTACAATCCCTTCTCGGCGGGAACTGCCTTTGAACCTACAGACCACAGAGACAAACCCTTCTTGCAGGCCCATTGATTGATCTAGAACATCAGGTCCAAAACCTGCTGCATCCAAACTAGATATCAATTTTGTGGCGTTACACCTACTGGAAGGTGGACTTAGATTCGGCTGCGGCAAGTCGATGGATAGAGCACCCTTGTTGATGCGCGCGATGAGCGAGAAGTTCTTATTGCACCGTGAGGTCAGCTCAAAGTTCGATGCCTGGGATGAGACGGGAGCAAAGAAGAAGCACTGTGCCAAGCACTGCGACGACTCTGACTGCAGTGTGCCTGGGGCAAAAAGCTTGATCAGCCCAGTGGAGAGTTTTCAGGTGGTTGTCTTGTGATACGCCGCAATCCAGGGAGTGCACGCATATTTGGTAGCGAATGACTCCTTCTATGTGGCTATTCTCCGAGAATCCTTCAAGTTGACGTGGCAGGCCCCTTGTGCAAAGGCTGAGGAAGCAGGCTTACAAGAGCAGGACCCATAGTTACATATGGATAAGTGCGAAATGCTACCTGCCAATCTTAAGTTGCTGCTTCTCGGTAGCCAAAAAGGGAATGTCATCCCATGTCCCATTATTTGGGTTGCTGTTAAGGAACTTGAATTAAGTTACCATAATGGGTATATGTAGTAAATAATAGGGTTACCCCAATATAGTAACTTAATTTAAGTTCCTTAACAGCAATCCAGTTATTCCCTGCTAAGAACCGGTAAGTCAACTTGATATTTTCAACTCCTGGACTACTCAGAGCACCAAGGATCACAGCGACGGTGATTGCGGCGTCTGCAGTGTACAGTGAGAGCATTCTGCTCTTGTATGGAAGGTGGACAGACATATTGGACAGACAGGGTACTACTCTGAGACTAGATTTGGTGTTCAGGGTTGAGGGTTTAATTAGGGATGATCATGCTCCTCCTTTGAATATCTTACTTGCGAGGCTTGAGCCTTCCTGCCCCGATGAGGCATGGCATGTAAAGTACAGCCCGGCTGCAGGTCAGCCCTCTGGGCAGGGATCATCATGGAACCCACGCTACTTTTCAATGGTTTGTTTCAAGCCAGAAGCCTTCAAGCATCAACACCGCAAAGCCTTTAGCACTTAAAACCTTGAGGCCCGAAACCATTCTGAATTCATGATCCTCATTGCCCACGGCTCCGTGCAGAGGGCCAGGTTTCGGGCGACCGGCCGGGCTTACTTACTGGCGGTTAGTGGGGAAAGAAGGAATGAGCAAGAACCTTGAAACTACTATATCACTTACAGTTCAGGATTTGGAACGAGGGTTGCTATTGGGGGTTATATAAGGGCTAGCATTGGGATCCATTCCTCCATGCCCTACTGGCCACCAGTAGGTTAATTTAGCCGAAGCGAGCACGGGGCATGCTAGAGTAAGGTGTAGACGTAGACAGCGCGACTGGCATCTTGACATGTCGCATACTTTTGTTTGAGATGTCTGAGCTATCATGCTGAGACGGACTGAGTGAACCTAAACCCCTAAACCCTAAACCCTAAATTGAGCGAACCCTACAAAATTTTGCAAGCTTGCAGACGGCTGAAGGCTGCTCCTAGTCAGCTCAGTGACCGCCGATCTTGACATGGGGGGCTGTCAAAATTATGGTCCCCTTTTGGGTACCCTAAATATTAGGGTTTAGGGTTTCGGGTTTTTGGTCCGTATTATAATAGGTGTCAACCACCCACATACCACTGCAACAGACTCCTTCTTGAACAGGCACTAATAGGCACTAAGATATCCACGACGGGCAGTTAGCCCACAAGCAACAATCTTCGGTTTTTGACGTAATCCTGGTGATCATGGGGAATTCCTTCGGCCTTCTCAGGTGTAGAATCTCGTTTTGAATGGCCCGACAAGTAAGGACTCAAGAAGGGCACCTTAACATACCTTAACTTTGAAGGACCGAGCTCGCATCTGCATGAAATGTTTGAAAGACTTCGGGCTTCAAAAGTGGGAGTTCGAATCCTGACCCCACACTGCTGGGTGAACGCAAACCTGCGTGAAACAATGGCATGCCTTTTCAGCAGGTCTGGGCGTGGAGCATGCCGTGGATTGGACTGTCCATTGCATCCCAGTCGCTAGTTAGTCCAACTTAATTAGGACCGCAACAGAATAGAACAGATCCTCGCCGCCTGCCCTTTGATCCGGGCGATTTCCCTCTTAACTTTTGAGTGATAATCATGGCATTGGCTCGTGCATGCCTTGCCATTTAGAGTCCTTTGGCCTAGTCTAGAGTTTTCTTCTAGCTGTCTAGTTCGTAAGGTCTAGGGTTTCAAGATGCGGGCGTTAGGCGCCAGTTTGTTTTATGTTCGTCGCCCTCTCGATTTTACATCGGTAGAGTCACGGAAGCCAGCAGCAATCTGCCTTCTAGGTTTGATCTTGAAAAAGCTCCTGCTCTTATTGGGATGCGTGCGCAATTTTGTCGAAGTCCATCTGTCCGAAGACCAGAAGACACGCTCCACTTTCAGGTGCGATTCTGAACGCGAGGTTGACGCCCCTCCACGATGCGAAGCCACAAGATCACATCCCTTACACCTTGCATCAATGGTAGTTTCCATAACCAGGGCCCCACATAGACTCCCAAATACCGGAATCCTTATTATGGCGATCCCCATAGAGTTACCTGAATTTTGGTGAACCCCGAATGTCTTCAGTTGCCAGGCCCTGGATGGACAGGACCGGTGCCCAGTACATAAAATGGAGCGATCCGATTGAAGCAACTTCTAGTAGCTTGCGGGGTGGTTATTTTGGGATAATGGAAAAGAAAATGGAAACTAGTATTCAGGGTTTAGGATTTAGGGGTCATGGCCTTTGGATTTGTTGAGTTTTTTTTTTTCCTGCTGCCTGCCTGTCTCCTACACCTCTTTTTGTCGTTGCTGCTGCTGCTGCTGTTGCCGTTTTTCTTTGTTTTCAGTGAGAAGATGACCCATCTGCATCTCTACAGATGATAAACTACGGGGGCTCAAGATGAAGGACACACACTGCTCTGCAATGGCAAGAACATGACCACTAGCAGTTGCCACCTCGAGAGCACATTTCCAACTTCTAAGCCGCGGGAAAGGTGCCACCTTGTTTTGCAATTAACATTCCTGCAGCGCTGTCATCAGTTTCGCAGCTCATCTTGCCCTTACGCCTATTGCTCCTTGCTGCAACCTGTTCAAGTCTTCTCCTACCACTACTGCTGTCACCAGAGTGGACGACGAGGACGACGACGATGATGACGGACACTATCACTACTATTGCTACTGCTACTGCTACTTCTGCTCCGCCTGCTGCTAATACCACTGGTACTGATAATGCTGCTACTGCTGCTGTGGCTGCGGCTACTGCCGCTGTTGCGATTCCTGTTCTGTTCACTGTTGTCAATGCAACCTCCGAGGCCGCAGCCCTTCGTTGGGCCGTCCGTCGCCTGGCCGGAAGGCACCGATCCTTCGCTGGCTTGGGATCAGGGCTCAGGGTAGATGGACCTGCTGGGATGAGTACGCGGGTGTTTCTTTTGGCGGTACAAAAGTTGACTATATAGAGATTCATAGAGTGCATGCCACGAAAAGACGTTTTTGGGGCGCCTGGCTTGCTAGGGCTTCTGCTGCTGAAGCTACTTTCCACTATTCAAGATCAAGGTAAACTGAGCTCATCCAAGCACGATATTGTCATCAACGTATGGCAGTGCAGTTTCGCGTGTGCAGTTTTGGAGAAAGAAGCTGTGGCTGCGAAAACGGGTCTTTCACACGCGTTGTCATATAAAAGCAGAAGAGGATTTGTGTAAGGATTCTGCGAGACGGTACCCCGGCTTTACAGGGACAAAGAGCTATTCCACAGGATTTCAAAGACTTTTACAGACTTCAAGGTTCTTGGCGGATGGGGGGGTTCAGGCCCCGGAGGGTGTAGAGTGTGAGTCAGCAGGCCAAGGAGAAAGGTGTACAGAAGGATTGTCATGAACTGTGGAGCTCCCCCTTACATTACAATTAGCATAATTGGTTTAGGGTTTAGGGTTTAGGGTTTTTAGCCTTAAAGTTGTTTGGGAGCTCTGGTGCACTGTTAGTTAGATTCCCGATCTCCTATCTAGTTGCGGGTGTTTCAGCTGTGAAAGGTGATAGGTGGTATGTTGGCCCCTAAACCCTAAATCCTAAACCCTAAACCCTAAATCCTAAACCCTAAACCCTAAATCCTAAATCCTAAGCCCTACACCCTAAACCCTAAACCGTTTGTTAGGCATTGAGATGGTTTAGGACGAGGAGTTAGGTAGGCATGTGCTGTGTGTGAAACATGTATGGGGGTTTCCGAAAATTTGGGGTACCATTTTAGGGTCCCAATGATAAGGACCATAGTATTTTGGGGTCTATATTGGGATCCCCTTATTTTGGGAAACTACCATTTCAAAGCCCTAAACCCAAAACCCTAAACCCTAAAGCCTATAAACCCATTATTTTGGGAAACCGTATTGGGGCTTCCAAGATTGAGTTCAGCAGGGTTTGGGATGACATGTGCCCCTTGGCGCAGGAATCAGCCCACTTCGAGGTCCAAGACAAAAACAACTGCCAATATGGGGGTGTCTCAAATTATGGGTACCTTTTTTGGGCTGTCCCTGTGATAGGACTATAGTATTTTGGGTCATATATTGGGGTCCCCCTATTTCTGGAAATTACCATATCATGGTCCTAGCTTCCTTGTATAACTACAGTAGAGGGCACCGCAAAGAGACCTCAAACGGACATTGGCGAGTATTGAGGACCCCGGCAGAAAGCCACTTTACCGGCAGCATATCCGGGGGCCCTTCTCAACGCCTGAAGTTTAGGCACAGGAACTTCAGACCCCAAACCCTAAACCCTAAGCCCAGCCCCTATGGTCTGAGATCTGGGTTCAGGGCTTAGGGCTTTGGACGTAAGAACCGAAATCGCAAGCCCTAAATGCCTGAATTCTGAGTTTGAGCTTCTACAGCAAGACCACAAACTGCGAAGCTAAGTTGGTGCGTACGATATTTTTGTGGTGCTTAAGGGATGCGCGGGTTCGTACATCATCCTCTAGAATAGTACCTATCGTCACTTAACCCAAAACCCTCAAACCCTAAAACCCTAAAACCCTGAAGCCCTAAACCCTACAATAGTCTCTATACTCCCCACATTTACCCCCCCCACTCCCCGTTAAGCACCAGCAAGATATGAGCTATAGTCTAAACTCCTTAAAGGGGGGGTTTATATACGGGATTATATAGGGGACTACTATAGGGGTTATTAAGGGGGATACTAGGAGTTTAGACAGTAGCACATATGGAGAGGCCTGAGACTTGCTCGGATGGAGACCGTGCTCGATGGGCCTTATGCTCAGGGGAGGGGGGGGGGTGTTTAGAGCTTAGGAAGTTTAGGGTTTAGGGTTTAGGGTTTAGGGGGGGTTTTAGGGTTTTGTCAGTTGGGGCTTAGGGTTTACTTGCTGTTTGTAAGTCGGGAACTGTATAATCCCTGTATAGCATATTCCTTTATTCCCTTACTAACCTCCAGTAAGTTTCTAGCGGGAGGCAGTAACAGTAGACAGAGAATCTGTCACTTGGGTCACCATATGCTATTTACCCATGTTTGCCATACGTTCTATTGGGTAGAGCCTCATGCTCCCTGCACTCGGTACCCTTAACCCTAAACGGTAGCTTGAAGCCTAAGATCTCCCCAAGCACTTTCCGTTTCGAAAGATGCCAGAAAATGGAGGGAACATCTGGGTAACTCCAAAAGTTGGGGTCCCTCCCATTTAAGTCTAAACACACCGCTTGTTGTAGGGACTTTCAAAGACAGGTCCCTAAATT